GATGTTTTTGCAGTGTGTGAGCAGAGACTCCGGTTAACACTGCAGTGTGTGTGTGTGTGTGTGTGTGTGTGTGTGTGTGTGTGTGTGTGTGTGTGTGTGTGTGTGTGTGTGTGTGTGTGTGTGTGTGTGTGTGTGTGTGTGTGTGTGTGTGTGTGTGAGTATACAATGTGCTGCTCTTAGAGATGTTTGTTCTGATGAGTTATTCACTCATTCATTAATCATGTGCATGGTTTTTGTGGCTGAGTTTTCCTGTTTCTCCTCGTCTGCATAAGAAGGATGTGTGTTTGAATGTGAAAACATGAATTATACCATGAGTAAATCACCAGGCTCACACACGCACACACACACACACACACACACACACACACCATTCACCATGTTCTGTTAATCTGCCTCAATAATGTATTTATATTCATAATTTAGGTTAATATTAATATTTCTGTTTAATGTAACCGCTGAGATCTGGAAACAGGAACATGATGAAATGAAAGAAAATCATCTCCAACATGCTGAGTGTGTATCATAGACTGTATTATAGAGGTGTGTTCAGAAGAGAACGCTGCACTGACCATTAGAGTCTGTGAGCTGTCAGCATGCACACTCTACACTGCAAACACAGAAACACACATGATTACATCTGAACAGCGCTCTCTGTAATCACTTAGCTGAACAGATATGTGTTTCCCTTGATCAACAGGCTTCTCTTTCAGCAGGTCATGAAACACTGATATCAGTCACATGATTTCAGAGAGGTCTGAAACATCTCTGCAGGGTTCAGAAACACAGTGGGCTTTGTGAGGGAAGTTATATAAATGAAACATCGTATCATAATCTCACAGCAAGAGTCATCATGTGCTCCTAAGCACATCTGAACACATCTGAACACATCTAGACACTTCTGGACACATCTGAACACATCTGGACACTTCTGGACACTTCTGAACACTTCTGAACAAACACATCTGAACACTTCTGAACACATCTGGACACATCTGGACAAACACATCTGAACACATCTGAACACATCTGGACACTTCTAGACACTTCTGAACACTTCTAGACACTTCTGAACACTTCTGAACAAACACATCTGAACACTTCTGAACACTTCTACACACTTCTGGACACATCTGAACACATCTGGACACTTCTGGACACTTCTGAACACTTCTGAACAAACACATCTGAACACTTCTGAACACATCTGGACACTTCTAGACACTTCTGGACAAACACATCTGAACACATCTGAACACTTCTAGACACTTCTGGACAAACACATCTGAACACTTCTGGACACATCTGGACACTTCTGAACACTTCTGTACACTTCTGGACACTTCTGAATACTTCTGAACACTTCTGGACACTTCTGGACACTTCTGAATACTTCTGAACACTTCTGAACACATCTGGACACATCTGAACACTTCTGAACACTTCTGAACACTTCTGGACACTTCTGAATACTTCTGAACACTTCTGAACACTTATGGACACTTCTGAATACTTCTGAACACATCTGAACACTTCTGGACACTTCTGGACACATCTGAACACTTCTGAACACTTCTAGACACTTCTGGACAAACACATCTGAACACATCTGAACACTTCTGGACACATCTGAACACTTCTGGACACATCTGAACACTTATGGACACATCTGAACACTTCTGAACACTTCTGTACACTTCTGGACACTCCTGAACACATCTGGACACATCTGAACACTTCTGAACACTTCTGAACACTTCTGGACACTTCTGAATACTTCTGAACACTTCTGAACACTTCTGGACACTTCTGAATAGTTCTGAACACATCTGAACACTTCTGAACACTTCTGAACACTTCTGAACACTTCTGAATACTTCTGAACACATCTGGACACATCTGAGCACATCTGAACACATCTGGACACTTCTAGACACTTCTGAACACTTCTAGACACTTCTGAACACTTCTGGACACTTCTGAACACTTCTGAACAAACACATCTGAACACTTCTGAACACATCTGGACACTTCTGAACACTTCTGGACACATCTGAACACATCTGAATACTTCTGAACACTTCTAGACACTTCTGGACAAACACATCTGAACACATCTGAACACTTCTGGACACATCTGAACACTTCTGAACACTTCTGTACACTTCTGGACACTTCTGAACACATCTGGACACATCTGAACACTTCTGAACACTTCTGAACACTTCTGGACACTTCTGAATACTTCTGAACACTTCTGAACACTTCTGGACACTTCTGAATACTTCTGAACACATCTGAACCCTTCTGAACACTTCTGAACACTTCTGGACAAACACATCTGAACACTTCTGAACACATCTGAACACTTCTGAACACTTCTGAACACTTCTGGACACTTCTGAATACTTCTGAACACATCTGGACACATCTGAGCACATCTGAACACTTCTGAACACTTCTGAACACTTCTGGACAAACACATCTGAACACTTCTGAACACATCTGAACACATCTGAACACATCTGTACACTTCTGAACACATCTGAACACTTCTGAACACTTCTGGACAAACACATCTGAACACTTCTGAACACATCTGAACACATCTGAACACTTCTGAACACTTCTGGACACACCTGAACACTTCTGGACACACCTGAACACTTCTGAACACATCTGAACACTTCTGAATAGGGATGATCACCTTTTTTTGCTCCCGATCCGATTCCGATCATTTGATTTTGACAATCTGCCGATACCGATTTTTCCCGATCCGATCTTTATGCAATGCATTAAGAGGAAAAAAAAAGGTAACAGATAACGGCTGGTCATCCAACGCGATGAATTCAGCTATCTTGGCTGTTATTTTTTTGGCCTTTTCACTGTTCTGGGGCAGTTTCTCTTTCCTTTTAAAAGTCTCTGAAAGTGTCGGTTGTTTCAGTGCCGTTACCTGAGTGGCCGCTGTGTACTCGTCGTGTTGTTGTTGGTGGTGTTTGTATTAGATTGGTCATGTTGAACGTAGCTCTGTTCTTTCCACCACGCGGAACCTCCGCCTTGCAAACATTGCATCTGGCTGTTACACTGCCTTCGCTTTCAATTTTATAATACTTCCAAACTTCTGACATTTTCTCTGTCCCGACTCCCGAGTCACCAGCTGAACGTAGCCTCTTGTTAGCTTACTGCTACTATTAGACACTGCGCCCACTCTGTTGCCAGATTTGAGAGAAATAAGCAACCAGGTCTATGAAAACAAGCCCAAAAGAAGCAACACATACATGATGTTGTGTAATTTTAACCCAAAACTAAGGCCTCAGGATGACTTTAAGACGTGAACATGGTCATTTTTGTTTTGGAACATTAAATAAAATGTATACAAATATTTTATAAAAAAAAAAAAAAAAAATCCGATCCCCGATTTTTTTCTCCCGATCCCCGATCACGTGAAAATCACGTGATCGGCTCCGATCCCCGATCACGTGATCGGATCGGGACATCCCTACTTCTGAACACATCTGTACACTTCTGAACACTTCTGCACACTTCTGAACACTTCTGCACACTTCTGAACACATCTGAACACATCTGAACACTTCTGGACAAACACATCTGAACACTTCTGGACACATCTGAGCACATCTGAACACTTCTGGACACATCTGTCAGCATCCTGATGGCTGCAGCCGGTATTAAACTGCTGATGGAGAGGAAGAGGAGGATCTGACCAGAGGAAGAGGGATGGAGGGTCTGACCAGAGGAAGAGGAGGGTCTGACCAGAGGAAGAGGAGGATCTGACCAGAGGAAGAGGGATGGAGGGTCTGACCAGAGGAAGAAGAGGGTCGACCAGAGGAAGAGGGATGGAGTAGTGAATCATTGTAGTGTCTTCTGTAGCCACCGGGGAGGGGGGATTGTCACTGTGACCCTGTCAGCTCCAGTTAGAGCCAACAGGAAGTGGGACAAATGCCCTGAGGCTGTCACAGCTCCGGCTTTTGGAGATCAGCCTCCTCTGCCTTTCCTTGAGCAGAGCCAGTGTGTGAGACCAAGAAAGAGTTACGATGTCTTGCAGCTTTAAGGTGCAGAGCATCACATGTCCCGCAGAGTTAGTTTGCTCCATAAACACCAGCAGGAGACCCCCTGTCTGTAGACCAGGTCAGTACTGGTCCTTAAGGATACTCCTAAATCTAAGCATGTTGTTGATATGAAATTGACTTAAATTAGATATTTGCACCAAAAAGAAGAACTATGTTATGTTCAGTCAAAGATTGTTGGGTTCAGTTTACCTGGTTTGCCCCCTCACCTGTCGGCCGGAATAAATCACTGTAGCAGCTCCAGGCCTGAGTACCCAGCACCACACACACACACGCACACGCACACACGCACGCACGCACGCACGCACGCACACACACACGCACACACACACACACACACACACACCACACACACACACACACACACACAGGACATTATGCCTCTGTGTTAATTCAGGTAGAAACAGGAGGTTGTCGGACCGGATCCCGGTGAGGGGTTAGTAACTTAAAGAGGAGTCCTCGGTCGGAGGAGGAGTGGTGACACGTCCTGCCGGGCCGGGGGGGGTCTCTAAGTCTGCAGATCTCTTTGGTTCTGAGTAGGTTTTGGTGGTCATACTCTTTAACATTTAGAAAGTGCGACATGCAGGACTTCCTCACAGATCCAGGACCCAGAGTTAGAGATCCAAATAATCTGTGTGTAGACGCTGTGTGTAGATGCCGCTGTGTGTAGACGGGGCTGTGTGTAGATGCCACTGAGTGTAGATGCTGTGTGTAGACGGGGCTGTGTGTAGACGCTGTGTGTAGACGGGGCTGTGTGTAGACGGGGCTGTGTGTAGATGCTGTGTGTAGATGCTGTGTGTAGATGCCACTGAGTGTAGATGCTGTGTGTAGACGGGGCTGTGTGTAGATGCCACTGAGTGTAGATGCTGTGTGTAGATGCCACTGTGTGTAGATGCCACTGTGTGTAGATGCCACTGTGTGTAGATGCCACTGTGTGTAGATGCCACTGTGTGTAGACGCTGTGTGTAGATGCTGTGTGTAGATGCCACTGTGTGTAGATGCCACTGTGTGTAGATGCCACTGTGTGTAGATGCCACTGTGTGTAGATGCCACTGTGTGTAGATGCCACTGTGTGTAGATGCCACTGAGCCCAGCTCTGATTCAGGGTGACTGACGGCGTTCTCTCTCCTCCAGATCACGGTCACAGAGACGGTGCTGTTCCTGGTCCAGTACACCTCCAAAGAGTTCGACCGCTCAGAGAAGACGGTGGCCACCGGAGACTGCTGTTACCTCAACCCTCTGGTGCGCAGGACCTTCCGCTTCCTCGGTGAGTCTCTGGACATCTGAACTCACTGACAACCTGCACAGCAAACACAGGGGGGGTTCACAGCTGGGGGGGGGGGCTGGGAGATGGTTGGTTATGTATTTCCTCTTCAGTGGCATGCAGGAGGAAGAGGAATGTGTCCTTCATCAGTTTTCTGGAACAAACGGCTTCCCTTCAGCCTCAGATCTCTTTCTGTGATCTCAGCTGACAGCTCTAACGTCCTGTTGACAGTTTCACTTTAACGTCCCCTCTGACTGTCATGTTCTCATCTTTAGTTTCTAAAGCCGATTTTCAGACTCTTTCTGATCTTCACTGAGATTTTTGTGAATGAAATCCGAATTACAACAGGTAGCCTTATAGTAGCATCTGTCCTGCTAATGACTACAATATATTCACCAATAAGAAGTCAGTTGTGACGAGTTAAAGAGCAGCTGTCTGATCATGAATCATTTCCTCATGAGGAAGCCTGTCAGACCTGAATGACCTTTATGATTCTGTCACACACAGAAATAACCACAAACATGCACGTGTGCACGCCTGAACACACATCACCACCAAAACACCTGATGGGGTTGTTCATCCAGCTACACACACATGTTCAACATGAACTCTACAGAGAGACACATCAGGATGCATACAGACCATAGACCTCTGAATATAACACACACATCTTTCTACACTGTACACTACAGGGGCACACAGACGACACACACTTCTGAAGAAACACACACACACACCTGCTGCCCAGCGTTGACCTCTCTTTAGCGAGAGCAGGAGATAAGAAGCAGAAGAGGATTATTCCTGAGGGAATCCACTTTGTGTTCAGCTTCATCCTCAGGTTCACAGCCTGAGGGTTATTCTCTGTGAGCAGGGTCCAGGTTAAGCTCTGCTCATCCCTACATCCCCTGGAGGTCATCATGAACCACACTGGTCAAATGATAAACCTGAATAAGCATGTCTTCGTGTTAATGAACGTCCCTCAAACGGCTCTGTGTGATGACTGACACCTACAGTAGAAGTGTGTCAGTTAATAATGGATGGCTAATAAGAACAACATGTCTCTGAACTGTTGGCTGAGTAACTCACACAGTGTGTGCAGGAGACCCTGAGATCATGGTATGTATTCCTGTCACTAAGCCCCGTGTAGGGTTCACACTGTGACAGGTAAAGGTGAGGGATGCTAACAGGTGCTTATGATGTGTGAGTCTGACAACTAACCCCTGCAGTGGGTAAAAGGTTTCCATGAGACATGAACAAAGCCACAGGAAGCAGACTCAGCAGGGTGTGTGTGTGTGTGTGGGTGTGTGTGTGTGTGTGTGTGTGTGTTGTGGTGTGTGTGTGTGTGTGTGTGTGTGTGTGTGTGTGTGTGTGTGTGTGTGTGTGTGTGTGTGTGTGTGTGTTGTGTGTGTGTGTGTGTGTGTGTGTGTGTGTGTGTGTGTGTGTGTGGATCCCAGGCTATTGATAAACCCCCCTGGCAGCTGGTTGGCACAGTGAGAGCTGGCTGAGTCCTCAGGTGACTCTCAGGTAAGGATCAGTGTGTGTGAGGGGTCAGTGTATGAGGGGTCAGTGTGTGAGGGGTCAGTGTATGAGGGGTCAGTGTGTGAGGGGTCAGTGTGTGAGGGGTCAGTGTATGAGGGGTCAGTGTATGAGGGGTCAGTGTGTGAGGGGTCAGGGCTGGAGGTCATGGACCTGCTGCACAGCTTCCTGTTTACATGTGATGATGATGTCACTGTAAACCCAACTCATCAGCGTGAACCTGCTCTCTGGCTGGATCTGTGTTTGGGAACATTTGGAAGAAATCCTTTATTGTGGGAGAGATTGAGGGAGAGAACTGTGTGTAGAGCGGACAGAGATAATAGGGTATGATCTGAACTACAGTTTAATGATAACGATGTTCCCCAAAAACAGCCAAACAAAAAGTCTGAGAACTGAACGTTGAAGAGCTCTCAGACTGACTTTGGTTTGAACGCAGGATTCGAACCAGGACTAACAGCAGCTTCTGTGTCTGTGATACCATGTGATGGGTTAGGGTTAGGGTCATATGTCTCTGCAGCATTAGGGTTAGGGTCATATGTCTCTGCAGCATTAGGGTTAGGGTCATATGTCTCTGCAGCATTAGGGTTAGGGTCATATGTCTCTGCAGCATTAGGG